ACAAAAGTGGACTATCAACATTACGGTGTAAACAGGTACAAACAATAGTAAAAAAAAGTCAGTAATATAGCTGCAAGAGTTTGCCCCAAGACACCTAAGGGCAAGGATCCAGTGAGCATAACCATCTGCAAGAACTGTAAAAGGGACCAGATCACCAAGGATTGCTCACGTACTATCAAATAAGAAAAGGGGGAAAGTGCCCAAATAGAGGTTCAGGCACCAAGCTGATAATTGCATTTCTAGTATATAGGTCCCAACAAAATGGGAAACCAATGGGAGAAACTATAGATAAATGGGGAGAGCTTAATCGGAGAGGGAACGGGACATGGGAAAAGGAAAAAAAGGGCAAGGGGGGGAAAAGGGTGGGAGAGGGGGAAAAAGAGCAAAGGGAAGGAATCAGAAACAAGAGAGATCAAGACAAAGAACCACAAGAAGGACAGAAAGAACAAAGTGTGAAATCAAAGGGAGACTAGTTGAGTAGAGAACAGCGGAATAGGGCAGGGCACCCCTCCCATCCGGGGGCCAGGTGATTCTAGTTTTAACTTTTGCCTTTAAAGTGTAAGTTTAGGCTTTTCCTAACCATGTTTACACTTGCTCTCATTCCCGTTCTAACTCCTATTCTAACTACCCTGTGAAAAGTGTTTATATTTGCCTATCTTGGGGGACAAGCTGGTCCGGTCACATGATTGGCTCCCAGTGGCGGCTTCGGGGGTGACAAGGGACAGCTGACAATGAATCCCCATAGCACTCCATCAAAGTCCATGCCATTTCTTTTTTTTTTTTTTTTAAGAATAAAGTTTATTGATTATGTGGCTTAGTAATATTGTTATACAAACATCTCTTCATATCAAAATATGGGCAAATGACATTCATCCACAGATAAAATGTTACAGAAAAACTATGGTTAACAAAAGGCACAATTGTGAATATGATAAGGTCCATGCAGGTGTCTAACCTAGGTTAACCCATGATCAATTCTATTATGGAGTAAAGCACAAACAAGTTAGGAGGGGATCGGGACAATTGTCAGACCATCCATTAAAATGAATACAAGGTTTGGGCATAACTCCTGCTGTTCTGTGCACATGGATGATGAGTGAAGCACCCAGGTATTTCAGCTATTGTCAGTGATCTCTACTCTACCCTGAAGTCGGCAGCTAAGGAGAACACTTGACTGGAATGGAGACCCCTCAAAATAGGTAAGAGCATCGTCCATTATAGTGTCATTAGCGTAAGAGTTAGAAGGTGGGTGGGAGCAGGTTTAAGCATAGTTAGGAAAAGTCTAGACTTCCACTTTAAGGACACTCAGAGACCTCCTCCTGGTTGCATTATCAAAATTGTTTATCATTTATGTAACTGTTATGTTATTTATTTCGATTCATACAAAAATAAAATAGCTGCTCTGGCCATTTACAACTATGTCACACCATTCGTATTACTATTTTAAGGATTAGCAGAAGGATCAAGGTTGACAAATCCTTTGTCATGTATGCATGAGAATTTTTGTGCAAATGTTCATATAAGCGTTCATTCAAAAATCTACTAGTGGCCAAATTTACACTTGTATCTTCTACTACTTAAGACAATATTTAAGATATTATGCATTACTTTCACTAGTATAAAGTTTGTCCAATTTAGGTGAAAATCAGGACAGGATACAGAACCATGCAATTTTCTAGTTACATATACCGGTATATGAAAATACATTTTAAGGAAAGATGTGATGCAGTGACAACTATATAGTATGTGCCATGCAATTGATTCTATATTTTTCATGGTCCTACCAAAAATGAAAAGCCAAAGCATACCTTGTTATTTGGAACAGTTACAGACTGAAGCTAAGCAGCACTGAGTTTGGGCAGGGCTAGTAATAGATTAGTGGAGACATAAAGCATTCCCAAAGATCTAAATCAGGATTTCTTAACAGGGTCCCATGGAACCCTGGGGTTCTCCCAGAGGTTGTTAGGTGTTCCTTGAGCAATTTTTGCCTCTCAGATAAGATCCCACTGACATCTTTGATCTTTTTAGCTATCGGTAAAGTGGGTAATTCTTCCTAATGACCACAAGAGCAAGGATCACTTTTCCTACTGACCATCGCACTAATGTATCATGAGTTGTAGATATAGTAATTTTTGGCAGGAGTTCCCCGAGACCAGAAAGTTATTCCAAGGGTTCCTCTGTGTTGGAAAGGTTGAGAAAGGCTGATATAAACCTTTATGCTATTCCCTAGGAAATTATGTTCAATATTTCTCGATTCTCTTAATGGCCAACCTAGGACACTAACAGTAGTGCAAATGAGGTAAAGTTGTATGGCAGAGCAGTGAACTTTTTGTACACTATTCCACAGCTGATCACGGGTGACTGAATGAGGGGGATACAGAGTTAAATAAAAGTGATATGAGTAATGGCAGCATTATTAATTCTCCATAACTTTATTTCCAGACATCACAAGGAGAATGCCATAGAGGTTCTGACTGATAGCAATTATTTCAAAGAAACACTAAATCTCAGAAGATGCAGAGCGGCTTCAAGAATATGAGATGCGGTCACAGGTCTGGTCACAGGGACATTCTTGTGCAGTAACACAGTCCCCGCAGTAGTCACGGGATTAACTGAGAAAGCATGGACTGTTCCAAACATTATGAACATATACTAGAGATAAAAGCATTGGTTTCTAACTTCCTTTTTAGTCATGACAAAGTGTAGACGGAACGGATGTCTACTAATACTGATGTCAAAATGACTCAAAGTTCTCGGTGTCCTGGCTTAACATTACTAAGCTTGTATAAACATATCTCTGCATTGAGTGGACGTTAGAATCTATGAAACCAATCGCAGGCAGCTGTAACATGCCGTGCAATAGCTACATGAAGAAACAGAGAAAGTTACATTTTTTTATCCCACAATTATTGTGGATTGCCTGGATATGTTTAGCTAATAAAGAAAATGATACATATTATAGCAAGCAATTAGGCACCACTCAGTCATAATGGCATGAGAAACAGATACACCGCTGTAGTGCTTGAGCAGCTGCCACAAAAATGACTGGCCCATCATGAACTGTAAGCATACCCAAGTGGTCTCTGGCAACAAGTGGATAACAGATCTTTGTTTAAAGCTGATACTCTGCTCTAAGTGTGTATGTACATATTTGTGTGGGCTGCGGTATCATTGGCATCATATAACAATATCCAACATTGTATTCCATTCAAGCTATACTTGGCCACATGTATAAAAATTAAAAGAAAGAGAAAGTGTAGATGAGGCCCATAGGAACCAATCAGATGCTATCTTTATTTCCCTTCCTTTTTTCCTAGGGGTCTGCATATAGTCATGTAAAAAATGAAGTGCTCCCTATGGAAATTGTTCAATGTGTATGCTGCTGCTCCAGGTGGGTTCACCACACTGTCCCTTTTACCTCCTGTATATTCAGGTGCAAGCAAGCACATCCAGCCATGTAGAACAAATGCAATAGGATCCAAAGGGCTGTACATAGACGGCCTGTTTCCTTGCTCTCACGGTGTCTACTGTTGCTGTATATGATGTTTTAGAGATTATAAATAAAGTGAATGCATGCAGTTTTCTAGTGTTCAGTCCTCTGGATCCTAGTGCATTTGTTCCCTATGGAAAGTGTAGTCTTTTTTAATATATTTGCAAACATTATATCTTTATATAAACAGGACTTACAGATAAAGGTGATCTACTTAAAGTGTAAGTTTACCTTTTTCAGAAAAAATTAAAAAAGGTGAACTAACACACTCATCAACCAACCTCCCCGCTAAATACCTTGAGTGACGAGCTATCTATGCCATGCAGCTAGCATAGTGGTCCAGGGATTTAAAATTCCTGTTTTTGTTCCCCTTCATTATGCAGGGATGGATCAGAGCAATGCTGATTGGTCAGTGATGGCACAGAGAATCACTCTGATCCCACCCCAGAAGCCCTGCATAAAGAAAGGGAAAAAGAGCAGGGGAGACCAGGGGCAGACTGACCATTTGGAAACTTGGGCACTGCTCGAGGGCCAGGGGTCAGTAGGGGGCCCCATAAGATGCCCCTGGTACCTTTTTCCTAGGCTTTTTTGGGTTTGGGCAAGGACACAGGGGCCCCATGATCCCCTATTGCCTGGGGGCCCCATGAGTTGTCAATCCACCCTGGTGGAGACCTTCTGAACGGTAAAGAAACCCTTTAAATAAAAAACAAAGCAGAAAAAAATTAGTTTTTAATCATTTATTAAACAAAAATATAAATAGATGCAGTGGTGCACTGTGAAAAAGTACAGCCTTGGCCTTGGAAGCCAGACATGCCTCTTTTAGCACAAATTACTTCTTGTAAGAGTTTTGCATAACTGGCCACCAGTCTCTGACATCAAATTTTTGACCCCCTCATCCAATAGTCCCTCAGTTATTATTATTATTATACAGGATTTATATAGCGCCAACAGTTTGCTCAGCGCTTTACAATATAACGGGAGACAATGCAGCAACAATACAGTTCAATACAAAAGGGAAAGGAGGGCCCTGCTCCTTGGAGCCTAAAATCTACATATATTTGAACTGCTACAATTTTGGCCATATTCAATTATTGAATTATTCATATATTATTGAAAGATGTTTGTGGGTTTCCTTGGTTGAACTGCTCATTTTAACCACTTGCCTACAGGGCACTTACACCCCCTTCCTGCGAAGGCCAATTTTCAGCTTTCAGCACTGTCATATTTTAAATGAAAATTGCGCGGTCATGCAATACTGTACCCATATGAAATTTTTATAATTGTTTTGAGACAGATAGAGCTTTCTTTTGGTAGTATTTAATCACTTCTGGGTTTTAAATTTTTTGCTAAACAAACCAAAAAACAACTGAAAATTTTTGTAAATAAGTGAGATTTTTCTCCTTCACTGATGTGCGCTAATGAGGCTGCAGTGAAGGGCACCGATAGGCTGCACTGATGGGCACTGATGAGGAGGCACTGGTAGGTGGCACTGATTGACATTGACAGGCATCACTGATGGGTACTGAAAGGCAGCACTCATATATGGCACTGATAGGCAGCACTGACTGGATACTGTTAGGTGGCACTGATAAGCGGCACTGATAGGCAGCACTGACGGGCACTGATAGGCGGCACTGGTGCGCACTGATAGGCGGCACTGATTGGCAGCATTGATAGGTGGCACTCACTGGCTCTGATAGGTGGCACTGAAAGGCAGCTCAGATGGGCACTGATATGTGGCATTGATGTGCACTGGTAGGCACTGATATGTGGCATCGATGTGGCACTGATGGGCACTGGCAGCTGCGATTGATGGACACTGACAGGTGGCACTGCTGGGGCTACACTGATCATCAGGGCACACAGATCATCAGTGCCCTGATGATCAGTGTACATGTCCCCTCCGAGGAATGCCGATTACCAGCTCTCCTCTCCTCACGAGCTGTCAGCGTGACAGCGCGTGAGGAGAGAAATGCAGATAACTGGCATTTCCTTATTTACATGTGAACAGCTGTGATTGGACACATTTGATCACATGACCGAGCTGACGTCTTTGGCTCTTAACGTTGATCAGTGATCCGCTGTGTCCGAGGGACACAGCGCACCACCGATTGCTGAGCTATGCGCCCCCGGAGTCGCGCACACGCGGTTAGAGTGGGAGGACGTCATATGATGTCCTCCCAGAATCAGAGACCCGCTTTGCACCCGTCATTTGGCGGGCAGGATTCGGTTAAATCTCCCCACATTTCAATGGTATTCAAATCAAGGTTTGTCATTGAGCCATTCCTCACTGGATGTGCTAGTGTGCTTTATTTCAACTTCAACTTTTGTACAAATGGCCTCACATTTTCATGAAAGTGATTGTAAAGGCTCAAGATTTTTTACCTTCATGTATTCTTTGCATGAAGATAAAATACCTTTTCTGTGCAGCAACTTCCCAAATACTCACCTAAGCCCCCTCTCAATCCAGCATTGTGCACTGGAGTCTCTACTAGCCTGGGACTCCCTCTCCTCAACGGCTGAGACAACAGCGGGAGCCACTGGCTCCCGCTGCTGTCAATCACAGCCAGTGAGGCAATGAGAAGAGAGAGAGGGCAGGGCCGAGCCGCAGCTCCATGTGTGAATGGACACATGGAGCAGTGTCTTGGGAACGCGCCTGCTTGGGTGCCCCCATAGCAAGCTGTTTGCTGTGGGATACTCGACAGGAGGGAGGGGCCAAGAGCGCCAGCAGGGGACCAGAGAAGAGGAGGATTTGGGCAGTTCTGTGCAAAACTACTACACAGAGCAGGTATGTATAGCATGTTTGTTATTTTATTTAATTTTAATATAAGCCTTTAGCATCATTTAAGTCTATTTTGATATGATGCAGATTTCATAGTTGATGACTGCAAGCTGCACAGGCTCTGAGATAGCAAAGCAACCCCAAACCCTAACATTCCTGCCACCATGCTTCACAGTTGGTATAACGTTCTTCTCCTGAAATGCTCTTCATCTTGCACCAAACAGGACTACTGTTACTCTGATCAAACATCTCTATCTTTGATACAGATGCAGGATTTATACAGGATTTATATAGCGCCATATAGTTTGCTCAGCGCTTTACAATATAACGGGAGACGATACAGCAACAATACAGTTCAATACAAGAGGGTTAGGAGGGCCCTGCTCCTTGGAGCTTACAATCTAAGAATTTTATGTGTCAGTTATTTCAGGTATATCACCTTTTAACTGTAAGGCATTGCTTGCATGAAGATCTAATGTTTGCCTGTTTAAATATGATTAAAAACTCCAAAATTTCCATGGGGTGCACTTACTTTTGTATATGACTGTAATTATCATTATTAATCCATTTAAAAAAAACGACTGTTATTTTTACCTTCTGTGGCTCTCACAATGGGGTACTGTCCACTGTATGCCAGTGGTGGGGGAAGTGCTTTGCATTGTTTACCTGTTTCTTTTTAACTTTATTGAAATGTCAATATCACATTTTATTTATTCACCCCAGCAGTCCTGCATTGTAAATGAGGCTGCCGTGGGTCCACATACTGTCCAGAGATTCAGAGGAAGAGATGAGTGATGGATGCCGAGGGAGTAAGGGATAAGGTAAATTAAAGTACTTTTTAGTGGTAGTCTAGACCAAAAAGAGCATTTAAAGATTGCAGTGCAGGGAAAGCCTCAATGCAAGGGTATGTTTTTTATATGTTTTCCGGAGTTCAGCTTTAAAGTCTCTTCTGTTCAAGGACCCATTCACGCTTTTTGTTATTTAACAAACATAAAGGCTTGTATACAGGTTAGCCATTGTTTTAAATAGTGCTAGTTTTATCACCTGTGCAATGTGTTCATGTGTATTGTCCACATAGAAAGGTGTGAAGTAAGCCATATTGTTATATCTGCAGAATTGTAATGAGAGGTTATTGGAGTATGTAAATAAATAATATAAAATAAATAAAATATAAATAAATATGCCCCGTGTTCTTCTGTGAACTTTTTGACTGCAACCCATTAAACATTTAATAATTAAATATAAACATCATGGTAATTTATTTTACATACAGTCATGGCCAAAAATATTGTAAGCCATTTTGTTATCTCTACAGAATTGTAATGAGAGGTTATATAAAGCATGTATGTATAAAATTCTTTTTTTTTAAAGATAACTACAGTCATGGCCAAAAATATTGGCACCCCTACGCTTCTGTCAGATAATGCACCACTTCGCCCAGAAGATTGTTGCAATTATTATTATTATTATTATACAGTATTTATAAAGCGCCAATAGTTCGCTCAGCGCTGTACATTACAAAGGGGGACAGAACATGTGACAGAACAATACCAATACAATGCAAAACATGAGGGGATTGAGGGCCCTGCTCTTTCAAGCTTACAATCTAGGAGGGAGGGGATGGTGGCACAGGAGGAGATAGCTGTGGGGGATGGAGTGGTAGGAAGAGTGGAGGAGGTCGGTCAAGTTAGCAGGGGGTGGGGTAGGCTTCCCTGAAGAGATGGGTTTTCAGGGTGCGCCTAAAGCAGTGGAGAGTAGGTGATAATCTGATGGGTTGGGGCAGGGAGTTCCAGAGGATGGGTGACACCCTGGAGAAGTCCTGGAGGCGGGCATTGGAGGAGGAGACCAGGGAACAAGAGAGAAGGAGGTCTTGTGAGGAGCGGAGTGTGCGTGCTGGGCGGTACTTTGATATTAGGTCAAATGTTTAGGCATTCTCATGCTTATTACTTTTGTTTGTATTGGTATGACACAAAAAAAGTGGAGAAACAAAAAGCTAAATCTGACACATTCCACGCAAAACTCCAAAAATGAACTGGACAAAATTATTGGCACCTTCTCAAAATTGTAAGAAATAATTGCATTCCAAGTTTGTGCTGCTCCTGTAATGTATACTACAACTCATGGGTTATGGGTTAACCTTCTTAGTGTATATGAAAATAACTGCAAAGTTTTTTGTGTGAAAAACATCTCAAATTTATGATAAAATGCACAAAAGATTTCAAAATATAGCACAATATTGTTATGTCAGCGTGTTTTGAGAAGACCACGGACATGTCCTGATGATGCTGTCTCTGCAAAACGCTTTGACTATCCTCAAGCTCTGTGATTAAATAGCAGTGGCTGCAACCAATGGTGTGTTGTGAGGCTGGTAAGAGCAGCAATGGGGGAAATGGACAGGGTGTTCTAAATGCCCTGTGTTCTTCTGTGAACTTTTTGACTGCAACCCATTAAACATAGTAATAAAATATTTACATCATGGTGATTTCTTTTACATACAGTCATGGCCAAAAATATTGGTACCCCTGCATCTCTGTCAGATAATGCACCACTTCGCCCAGAAAATTGTTGCAATTACAAATGTTTAGGCATTCTTATGTTTCTCTCTTTTGTTTGTATTGGTATGACACAAAAAAGTGGAGAAACAAAAAGCCAAATCTGACACATTCCACGCAAAACTCCAAAAATGGACTGGACAAAATTATTGGCACCTTCTCAAAATTGTAAGAAATAATGTGTTCTAAGTTTGTGATGCTCCTGTAATGTATAATAAAACTCACCTGCATCACTCAACAGGTGCTGACAATAGAGAAATCACACCAACAACCATGTAAAATGGTGAAAAATTGATTCAACCTTTTGTTGTGTGTCTCGGTGTGCCACATGGAGCATGGAGAAGAGCAAAAGCAGCAAAAAAGTGCCTGAGGATTTGAGAACAAAAAAATAGACAATCTGAAGGTTAATATCTAATCTTCCTGGACGTGGACGAAAGGGGAACAACTGATCACAGATTGCAATGAAAGATTGTTCGAATGGTGGCTAAAAAACCTCGATCAACTTCCAGACAAATTCAAGCTGAACTTAAGGCACAGGGTACAACTGTGTCAGCTTGCACTATACGTCACCATCTGATTGGAAAGGGACGCTATGGTAGGAGACACAGGAGGACACTACTGCTGACACAGAAACATAAAAAAGCAAGATTGGAGTTTGCCAAAACTTACCTGAGGAAGCCAAAATCCTTTTGAGAGAATGTGCTCTGAACAGACAAGATGTTTTGGTAGAGCCCATTATTCTACTGTTTTCAGAAAAATAAATGAGGCCTTTAAAGAATACAGTACCTACAGTCAAACATGGTTGAGGTTCACTGATGTTTTGGGGTTGCTTTGCTGCTTCAGGCACTGGATGTCTTGACCTTGTGCATGGCGTTATGAAATCTGAAGACTACCAACGAATTCTGGGGTGCAATGTAGGGCCCAGTGTCAGAAGGTTGTGTCTCCGTCAGAGGTCATGGGTCTTACAGCAGAACAATGACCCAAAGCACACATCAAAAAGCACCCAGAAATGGTTTAAAGACAAAACGCTGGAGAGTATCGATTTGGCCAACAATGAGTCCAGATCTCAATCCCAAAGAGCACCTGTGGAGAAATCTGAAAACAGCAGTTGGGAAAAGGAACCCTTGCAATCTGAGAGACCTGGAGCTGTTGGTGAAAGAAGATTGGTCCAAAATTCCAGTAGAGAAGTGTAAGAAACTCATTGATGGTTACAGGAAGTGATTGATTTAGGTTACCTTTTGCAAGGGATGTGCTACCAATATTGACGGTGCCAATAATTTTGTCCAGGGGGGGTTTATTTTTGGAGTTTTGTGTGGAATGTGTCAGATTTGGCTTTTTGTTTCTCCATATTTTTGTGTCATACCAATACAAACAAAGAAAGAAACATAAGAATGACTGACAGATGTGAGCGGGTTGCCCTTGTGGAAACGCGCATTAGAGATCTGGAGGAGCAAGTTGGAACACTGGGCAGGACCGACAACCTTGAAAGGGGTCTTCTGCTCTCTGAGCAGGTGGCTAATGGGATTAAAGTGGGGGGGTGGAGGGGCTAATCAGGTTTATCAGGTAGGAGGATGGGTTACTGTAACAAGAGGGAGTGGTAGTGGCTCACAGAAAAGGAAGGCTGGCCCTGGGTTTGTGCACCCAAACAAATTTACCAAGTTGGGTGAAGATGTGGAGGTGGCAAGCTCAGAGGTGGCAGCCCTGAATGTCACTGCTATCCCTAACAGCTGGTGGTAGTAGGGAATTCTATAATCAAAAGGACTGAAGGTGGAG